ATTTAATCTGAAAAGAGGGTTAAATGGTTGCGCCGTTATTCTTCTGATTGTCCGGATGGCCACTGACCTTTATGTAATCAAGTATACTGAGTATAACGAACACGTACTGTCCTTCTAATTGAATGCATGATGCTCGTTGATTGCGTAATTTCTTAAAAAGGTCCACCAGCTGAAATAACTAAATTAATTTTTTGCGTCCTCAAAGAATTTCGGACATTCAAATGCTGTGACATGTGCAGTGTCGGAGTAAGACGCGGTTCAAGTTCGTGTCCTGTCCGACAAGCACAACAACGTAGTCACGTTGGCGAACGCGTTGCAACCGCGCGCGCGATATCCATGTATTGCATTCGACCCCTGGTTCACGATTTTGGATGTGCTCATTCAATGTCCGCGATCTCACCACTCACATCAATTTCCTTACGACTGAATAGTCGTCTGAGAATGACATCGATCAGAATAATTGTGCCAGTTCGGCCAATTCCTGCGGAACAATGCATCACAATGGGACCGTTGTCCAGTTTATCGCCCTAAAACTAATTATTCTTCAGTACAATACTTCCAGAGCCTGGCCGTGCACAACAAAAGAGGTACTCACACTAACTTGACGTATAACTCGCAGGACATGCCGACCGCTCATCGGGAGGCCACGGTCTGGCCAAGTTGTCATGTGCAACACCTGAAGTCGTTATACAACTCTGGTTGGAAATATATCCATAGATGGCTTTGTTATCGGCTGACATTAGGTCCTGGATGCTTTTCCAAAAGGGGGGGGGGCATTGTGATGCAACACTTGGCAAGCCCACAGTAATTTCAATTTTTACTGGGGAGAAAGCGGTATGTTAACCATTCAGTTTTCATTTTCACACAGATGCAACTGGGAGTTTCCCCGCGAAAATTGGGATTACGTGGGCGGCACGATATCGCACCATCCCCCTTTACTGAAGAAGTGATAACACACTTTCAGAACTGGCTCATATTACGTCATCCTTGCAGATATGTACCCTCTGTTCCGAGAACTAGGTGCGTGTCGAGTGCAGAATGCACACTACAAATGACGACAGCCTCCAAGTAAATCTTGCTACTAGTGGTTCATAGTGATAACTGATAGTTGTGAATGATAGTTGTAATTAGTGACAACTGATGAAT